AAACAAATATTTGGCAATTTTAGAAGAATCGCTTTTACCAGTGATGGAAGAATGTTTGACATCCGGCCAAGATTTTGTGTTTCAGCAAGATGTTGCAGCGTGCCATACCTCAAAAAAGACTATAAAATGGATGGAAGAAAATAATGTGCCACTTTTGAAATGGGTTTCTAGCAGTCCAGATCTGTCACCTATTGAAACTTTGTGGCACGAGATGAAAAAGGTTCTACGACATCATCATGCTCGTACAATCACCGAACTGAGACAAAAGCTTCAAGAAATATGGGATTGTTTTACACCAAATTTTTGCCAAAACTTGCTTAACACTATGCCCCAAAGAATTTCAGCCGTAATAAAAAATAAAGGTGATGTTACCCAATGGTAATCTTTCAATTGTTGCTTTGTTAACTTCGCGCATTTATTCGCACATTGTTTATTTGTTCAGATGTTCTATTAGTTATAGGTCTAAGTGATTTCAAATATGTATTGTTTACAACTAGCGTGTATCTATAATGTTTTTAAGAAAATAAATTGTTTTAGAAGTAAATAGTTTCGCCATGTTTAGTTTATAAAGGCATGTTTTGGTACAAATCTTGAAGTGGGCCAACTGAAGTGGGAAGGGGCTCGTATATTGCAATCTGATAATGGTCTGGAGTTCGTTAACCGAGTTGTGGGAAATTTGACAGAAATGTGGCCAGGTCTAAAGATGGGAAGCCGCGCCTTAGGCAGTCACAAGGTAGAACCCGCCAATCAAGATGTTTAAAAAATGCTCATGGTGTGGCTGGGCGATGAAAATTGTTAGAAATCATCTGAAGGACTAAGATTCCTTCAACTAATGGAAAATAGAGCATATCATCATGGAATTCAAAGATCTCCGTGCAAAGCAATGTTTGGTTGTGATGTTAAAGTTGGCTTAAGGTCATCAGTTCGGCCTCTTCAAGCACTCGAAAAGATCGAGAATGAGGAGGATCTGGAGAAAATTTTTGAACAGTTGAAAAATAACAGTAACAGGGTAAATAAGACAGAAATACAATCCCATGGAAATGAAGTTACAGAAAAAGCAGTTTACCAGCGTTGTGACCAGAAAAGCGTCACGTGTGCAAAAAGAAACAGAAAATAGATAATAGTAGGAAATATGCGGCAGTTTCTTCAGTATTACAGGCTACAGTTTCCACAAATGAGATGTTTCCTCCTTAAAAGTTAGGTGATACCGTCCATGTCAAAATTCCTGACGTTGGGCAACCAGTTTGGTACAGTGCCCGATTTTTTCTAGGAATCAATTCAGCATGTGCAAATCAAAATTTTTAGACCTTCAAAATGTTTCGCCCGAAAATAAATCACTGCGCCAAATAGCCAATGCCCAATCTTCATCTGTTAGACAAGGCTATAAAAGATGCCACTGTAAAACCAAGTGTGAAATTAGAAAGTGTGTGTGTGTAAAGCTGCTGGTATTTTGTATATCTCTAAATGTCATTCAAGCTTAAGTTGTTCAAATAAGTAGGTAACCCATCGTCTCAGTTTTTTTTATATTGGGTATGCTAACCATCTACTTTTTTTATTACTTACTTGGTCTAATGAATGTTTCAATAATTTATGTTAATTAAATTGTTACACCCGCACGAAATATTAAAAAAATGTAACGTTCAGCTACAGCTGCGGAAAAAGATGTTTAAATTGTTATATTGTTTATGACCGAATGAAATATTTGAAATTGTAAAATTCAGTTACAGTTACGACAAAAATTTATGTTTAAACTGTTATAACCGCATGAAATATTTTAAAATGGTAAAGTTCAGTTACAGTTACGACAAAAAATTATGTTTAAACTGTTATAACCGCAATATTTAGAAACTCTAAAGTTCAGTTACAGTTATAAAAAAAATTGTTTAAATTGTAAAGTCAATTCACAGCTATGAAAAAAGGGTTGTTACTAGCAGAAGTTTTTTTATTGTTGGGGTTAAATACCTGTGATGACAATATCAAAGTATGGCTAAGTTATGTTTAAGAAATGAATAATATGAAAATGTTGACATTACATTTTCTTTAAAAATAACCGTATAATCCTGCTTGTAATGTTTACATCTAGTTTTAACCACTAAGGATTGGCTAGACCTAGGTTAGCCGTGATCAAGTTGATTGGACCTAGTTATAACCGAATGCAACCGGCTAATACCAGGTTTGGCCATGAACGTATAGGTTATACCTAAGACTAACCAATTGCCAGTGGCTACACCTAGTTATAACAACCTAAACCCATTTCAGGTTTTATCTTTTAGTTATAACGGAAATGATGATGCGGAGAAAGGTATGTAACAAATAGAATAAATAATGGGTAAAATCCGAAAAAAGAAGGAATGGATTCGAGCAGAAAGAAGGATAGGTAACTCAAGAATTACGTATTTCCGCTTGTTAGCTCCTTTAGGCCCCAAATCAATGCACATACAACTACAAAAGTAGACACACATGCCCACACATCCGGATACAGGTTTAACCCACGGACACCAAGATGGAGAGGGAACAAAACCACACACGGAGTCACCAACAAAAGCCAACCTACACTTTTGTAGTATAATGGCAAGGCGGCATCTAACCATAACCACGCGGCCAGTTATAGCCGCTTGTCGTGGTACTTCAAGCTCAAAGGATCTATAGAAAGGAAATAATCATACGAAGAAAGGAATGAACAAACAGAAAAAGTGACTGGCAACATCCGCAAAAAGAAGGAAAGTGGATTCGAGCAGAAAATAGGATAGGTAACCCGAGAAATAAGTATTTCTGCTTTAGGCTTCATCAGGCCCGAAATGAATGCACATATGCAACTACGAAAGTAGACACACATGCCCACACATCCGGGTACAGGTTTAACCCACGGATACCAAGATGGGGAGGGAACAAAACCATACACGAAATCACCAAGAAAAGTCAACCTACACTTTTGTAGTATAATGGCCAGACGACTTCGAGTTTTCAAGGGGAGATCTAATCACACACGCGGCCGGATATAGCCGCTTGCCTTGATACTTCATACTCCAAGGATTTACAAAAAGAAAATAATCATGCGGAGAAAGGAATAGACAAACAAAAAAATTGATTAGCCAAATCCGCAAAACGAAGGAAAGTGGATTCAAGCAGAAAATAGGACACATAACCCGAGCACACATACGTAGTGTGTCTTCCGCGCCAGACGCCTCAAGAGAAATTCCATTAAGCCGCTTGGGCATGAAATTAATATTTCAAAAATAGTTTCCAGTATAAAAGGCAGCCTATGTGCTATTCTACATGATCATGTATCTCTGCACCAAACGTCATCCAGATCCGTTCGGCCATTTTGGCGTGAATGATTAACAGACATCCACACTTTCTCATTTATAATATTAGTAAGGACTAAGTGGGGCTTACGTAAAATGATTGAGGGCTTAGCTAAACATAGGCTACCGTGAGCGCCCCCAGGAATTTTCAGGCGAGGCCGATGATCGGCGAGATATAACTATTTTGAAAATGAACCTACCCCCAAACACATATTGACGGCAAGAGAGAGTAGCAAATTTTCTGCGGAGGAAGTCTTAAATTTCCACAAAATTGTAAATAAAATCATTATAAATATGCCCATGTAGACTACCCCAACTTTAGCCTTACTTTAAGCTTTAAACTAATATCCATCAAGCCCCAATCTATAGTCTATGGCTTGCACTAATCTTACTAGGTTTGGATACACCTAGTCCCATATCTCCAGCTAACTTAAGACCTACGATATGGGACTTACATTTGACAGTAGGAAAGTCTTGGGAATGCAATAGAAACGTTTTCGTTTAATAAAATTTATCAAATTTTAACTTGTTCTGGGCATTTATATCCTCTCAAAATGCTATTGTCAACATTTGAGCACACCCTGCTTTTGAGCCTTATGCATCCAACTAAGCTAGGGGAAGCTAATTATACCCTTTTTCCTGTGTAAGTGTAGAAATGGCAATATTACTCGTACAAGTAATTTTTTGTTGGACGAGCATAAAGAAGAAAGACTATATACAAAGGGTACTATAAAAGTTTTTTAGTACAGCTTTATTTATTGTCTCCGTTCAAAGTAATTTCCACCACATTCCATACACTTCTCCATCCGCCAAAACCAGTCCTTGAACCAGCTCTGCCAAGTTTCACCGAGGAGTGCGGGACACTCGTTGTCAAGGTCATCATCGCTAGAAAACCATTTTCCATTTAGCTTCATTTTCACATGCGGAAACAGTGCAAAGTGGCAGGGAGCAGGATCTGGACTATAAGGAGGGTGCTCAATTAGTTTCAGTCCAGTAGTGGTCAAATATTCGGTGCAGGTTTTGGAGCGGTGATCTGGAGCGGTGTCATGGTGGAAGTACCATTCTTGACTTTGGTAGCAGATCTTCCATAGATTTTATGACTGTAGGCAGGCACTGTTCCATGTACCACCTATCTGTGACTGTCTTCTGTGTGTCCAAAACGACACGCTGAGCAATCCCGCTCAAATCATGTTTTTTTAACAGATCGGGATTTTCAGACAACTCCTCATCATCAAAGACCCATCCTATGTTTTGAGCCTTGGTCGGCACATCGTAATAGTAGAGCCAAATCTCGTCACCTGCCATGATGCTGTTCACATACCAAGATTGCCCCTTATCAAATATTTTCAGCGTCTTTCTACACCAAGTCGTACGACGAGACTTCTGCTCTTCCGTCGGACTATGCGGTACTCAGAGAGAACAAAGTTTCCTTACGTGTTAAGTCATATTGCAAAACTTGTATAGTACCCTTTGTATAACTTGTACTCTACTCATCTTAATTCGCCTCATTCTTTAGGTAGTGTTGCAATGCTCATAGAGAAGCACCTGAAGGTCGAGTCACTTACATAACGAATTCCTTGCAAATGATTCATTATAGTGTTCCGTAATGAGTTTTGTTGATGATACATGCAATAAACTTGACCGATAATTCTAGTTTTGTATACGGAAATCAAAAACACGGTGCATAGTCAACGAACTTTATAAAAAAATAAATATTATTGCTGTTCCTAGATGATAAGCATAGAATATTGATACGGTATTGGTATATATTGGAATTAATTACCTAGGGGTCACATCAATTCTGTTCCATCAAAGTTACTCACAACTCCAGCACCAGCAGCATGGCTTCCAGAATTGTACTTGCAATTTTAGCTCTTATTGCCTTCCAGAAGGTAAGTCTTAGTACTATAGATACTACATCATAAAATTTTCAGCAAATCAAGTCTGCAATGTTTGTGTTTGATACGGAATTCTAGATATTAGGATACAATTGCATTACTGAATACCGAATAATCATGAATAGGTTATCGTAATTTTTAAGCAGATTCACAAATATAGTTCCATACTTTTAGAAAATGCCATACTATTGAAAAGGGTTCGTGGTTGTCGACTATGAAGACGTGCTGAAATGCAATATCCCGCCCCAAGTCGACAATTTTTTATAGCTCAACTCTCACCAAAAAATAAGTATACAATTTTTAACTGTCCTCTAAGCGTAAAATACGATCATGATCAAGGTCTAAATATTTTCTGCTTTTTTTCTATTGTGATTGCGTCGGAATAACATCGTCGCAAAAGTAAGAAAAACAAACGTTCTGGATTCAAATACCAATTATCGCATCCGCTTCTCCATGACAGTAAGCACACCTACAAATGTCACCCGATTGGAGCTCATGCACCTTTAGTTATTCCAGTTCCCAAGACCAAACTTTCCAGCACGATCTTACACCTTCTCTTTTTAGAACAATATTTCCTTTATACTAATGTTGTGGTCTGTTAACAAGCTCGTCGCAACATGCCGACCACCTCTATAGGAAGAGATCCTCTAGCCACATGTAACCTTGCACTTACATCCTTCGCTAGTGGTCGGTGTTCAGAGAAAATGGTTGTGGAAATAAGCTAGTTTGGGATAGGCATAGCATCAGAGTATACAGGATGTTTCCTAAATTAATGTCAATATTTATGAGGGCGATTTTTGGCTCTATCTTAAGAAGAAAGCTCGATCTGAACGTATGATCGGAACGTGTTAACTTTTGAGATGCAGAGTGGTAAACAAACAAATCATTAATTACTAATACCTGTAATACAACTTTAGATATTTCAATAAAATTTGGTATCTATGTATCAAGAGGCATTTTTTAGTGTACCACATTTTTTTATTTCCACCAGTGGCGTTTGTACGGAATTTCACCTGCCTATTTTGGCAGACATTGATGGTACGTCTCTGATTTCTGTTGAAATAATACTAACTATTGAAACTTCGTTCATTTCTAAGCAAATTTGATCACCTAAGTTTTTCAACTTGATGCATAGTTTGCGCTTAAGAAAATAAAAACCGTTTCTCTTCTTGATCAATATCGTTAACATGGTAATATCATCATGCAGAGAAATAGATTAACTGTTTTAGGTGAAAACGGTGCGTCGGACTAAAATAATTCAGGAGATCAAATCTGCTCATAACCGAAAGCAGATCTCATTTTTTTTATTGTAAGAAAAGTCAGTGGTGTGCCACGTACTTGTTATATTGAAAACTTTACCACCCTGTATTTCAAAACTTAGGACGTTTCGAACAATTGTTTATACAAAGTTTTCTTCTTAAAATGAGCCCTAAAATCGCTCGCTAAAATATTGACTTTCCATTAGATGCCCCCTTGATTCTCTTTAATATAGTCCTATTTCCATTTGCATTTGAACTCACTATTCCAAAAAGTATCCGCCACTTCATTAACATGAATCCTCACATATGATTCTGAAGTGTTGTGCGGTCACGAGCCGCCAGTGATTAGTTTTTGAGGAACTTTGTCCCAAGATCTACGGTACCGATCTGTTAAATCCTCGAGTCTCATTTGTGATAGGCAAACATCGAGTAGTATTTGGAGTGGCGCAATTAGAATTTCTTTTAACTACAGAAGACGGTGTCAGGAGGCGGAGCCAAGGAGGACACATTTGTGTCATATCGACACAAGGTCTGGCTTAAGTTTCACACTCTGAATACATCAGTAGCTATGCATCAATTAAGAAAGTCTTATTCCGGACCTGCATCTTGTCTTTACAATATACTCACCTTTGAAACATTATGCTTGACGACGTGGTTTACATGTCGATAATACTCTGTGCTTGTCTGACCAATAAAACTACATGTATTGACACCTTATAGAGAAACCTACATAATATCATAAAAAACTGAGACTTTTCAAGTTACGTAATGCTGGTGCGGGAACTATTTATATCATTTGGATATATATATATATATATATATACAGGGTGAATTTGAAGTTGAGTCATTAATTTTCAGATAATGATTGTAGAAGGAAGATAAACCAAAATATGTGTGTAAAAATAAAAAAAAAATTAAGAAAAAAATGTTACCTTGTTTTATAAAGTATCCTCCCGACAAGTATTTCAGTGTGGACCTGTATTTGATCGTGCGGTCTTGGAGCACCGGCAAGCCCTCCCCTGTGAGGTCTTAAGTCACCTGATTCACGAGCCCTTTGTATTACATTAACAAAGGCACGAGGGGTTGGTTGCACTCGACTGGGAAACCGATCCGCATAAATCCGTGACTCCCCCCCCCCGGTAAATAAGAATCATGTCCACAAGTTCAGCATTTTCGTAAAAATGTGCCATTTTTTATTTCGTTTGAGCCACGCAACAAACACCACTATTCACTCACGCGTTACCAACTGACACATTGACTAACATCGTGATAAAAGTTTCAAATTCTTTCGCTTTTTTGTTTCCGATGCGATGAACCGATAAGGCGGATTATATCCGTTGTTGCCAAACACGAGCACATAATATTATTATTGAGACAGGGCGGTACTCAAACTTCTAAAGGGCTATAACTTTGTTAATTTAATTTTACCAGAAAAATGTTAAAGGAAAAAAACATTTCTTTTGATCAGATCTACTCACTGTTAAAATAAATTACTCAACTTCGAAGTCACCCTGTATATATATAGAGAGAGAGAAAATTATCATGCGGAGAAAGATATATAACAAAATTAGCAAAAAGAAGGAAGGTGGATTCGAGCAGAAAATAGGATAGGCAATGCACATATGCAGCTACAAAAGTAGGTACACATGCGCCTATACATCTGGATACGGGTGTAGCCTGAGGAAACGAATACGCAGAGTGAAAAGCATGACACACGAAGCCCACAGCAAGAGCCAGCCTACACATTGTAGTATGAAATAGCTAAAAGAACTCGCATTTTCACTTCAATTTACATTCAACTATTCAACATTTCAGCTGGCAAGCGCATGTTGTATCGCTCCTTCACTGGATTTAGGATACGGTGGATGCGGTGGATGCGGAGGATGTGGAGGATGTGGTGGAAGCGGTTACTGGGGTGGTTGTGGTGGTAAGTCTCTACTACCACTTCCTAGACCTGTTAAGCTACCACTAGTCATCAAACCAATCTTGGACTTGGTAAGTTATTACTTTCATCGCATTGATGATTTTACTGGGCTTTGGGAATTTGTCCTCCATAGTGAAGCATCAAGTTACACGTTACTGATTTAGGTGTTGCTCTGCAAGATAAAATGGGCAGCCTGCCAGCCTAAAGTATTGAACTATATGCAAAAAAAATTGGATGTGCAACTTCTTTGCTAATTCCTTTGGGCTACTTTTTGCATTCTGAATTGACAAATAATTAGTCAAGAGGCAACATGCGTTTAGATTCTTACATAATAGCATACCACTTTGGTAGTAACCTACTATGTGTTAAATTACACTCCTTAATTTGATACTTGAATTTAGTATCATTTTTACCAAAAATTTAGTAATGAATTTAGGCAGTGAAGTAGTAGAAGTAAGCCACATTCACTATAAAAGTAGATGGTGTTTGTATATCTTGTCCCGATTGCAAAATTCCAGTACGGAAAACAAAATTTATCGATTTCCGCAGCAATAGATGTGTTATTAAGGATAAAGAGCACCGACAAACGCATAAATATTTACATGAGTACATAGGTATGAATATAAGCAAAAACAAATAACAATAACAAAAGTACACACACCTCGCGAAGTTGTAAATGACACAGCGTGTGGAATTCAACGAAAAGCAAAATAATGAATTCGAATAGATTAGATGTACATTACAATGTTTTTTGCCAAAATTGTGTAGTTTTGGTGCATATTTGTCTACCAATGTCTATTAAAAAGACAGCGATGTATCAACATAACAATAATACTTACCGAAAGATTGTGCTGCCCTTTGCAAATTATATAAGAAGTAGAACGTCTAATACAAGAATTATCTGCAAACATTCGCAGTTTTGAAAAATAACACTATAATTACGAAATCAGTGGAATAGCTTTGACAGTTGGCAAGATCAATCAACTATAAAATCTGACAGCCAACAGAAAACTCTCGTCAAACTGACAAAACTATCCCATGGCTACTGCTACTCAGCCTAAACCCATATGGAAGTAAGTTTATTAAGCATAGTTTTATAAATAATGCTGACACTACAGATACTTCATAGAGTTGCTTATTATCGATATAAACAATATTTCCCAAACATGGGATAATAACCTAAAGAGTAAACATTTGGTCCATTTTTATACTATTTTGACCTTCGGTAATTAAAAAAAAATGCTTCGCTTTCTATCTTACTGCGAAAGGGTTTCTAACATGGGATCTCTCATGAGCAAACATTACACGTAAAGCTTATTAGAAACGTTTCATGTAACACATACTTCTCCCCATGGACTCTTTTCAAATATGTTCTTTATTGAGTGTATCTTGATGAGAGGAAGCTTCGATGTATTTGAAGGTTTTTCGAGATCTATGACGAGATTGTAGTATTATACTATTGCTGAAGGCAGTCATACTGAGGTGTGTTTGAAAATCACTTGGTATTGTAATACTGTAAGCAGTAATAGTATGTAGCTGGACAGATGAAATTTTGCTCTGGAATACTGTGCAACATTATTTTTAGAACATAAATTATAACAGAGTCATGTAATGATATTTGATGACAATCGCAGCCCTGGGGCTTGATTCTAAATGAGTTTCGACCGTTGAAATTGATTTCAATGGCGCCTTGTGACGATATACTTGATTAGCAATGATAATTTTGACACTGCATGATAATTTTACTATAGAAGATCAATATAGTCAGATGCCAAAATTATCATAGCGAATCAAGTATATCGTTACGTCATCGAAATCAATTTCAACGGTCGAAACTCATTAAGAATCAAGCCCCTGGAGTGCTTTTGTAGAAGCTTCGCTAATGACTTCTGCTATGGTTATGAAAATATTTTCGGAAATTTTGGTCGCCCTGTATCAACAATAAGCGACGGAAAACCGTCAAGGGGCAATACAGCCTTATGATAGCCCAAGCAATTGCTCCTCAGATTATGTTGTCTATAAGTATTAATGTAGGTATAGTACTGTTCAAACATTAACATTATGTACTTAGAGCTATTTATTAATAGTAATGGTCTTTATTAGTATATCCAAATTCAGCTGAGGCTTAGCCACATGGCTATTCTAGCACTTGACCAGTTAGTATAAGGCATTGTATTTCAATTTCCCACTTATAATCATTTATATTTTTGCTTCAGAACTGTGATACAAACGCTCCTAATGGCAACGGCTGCTCACTGACTCCAAACTGTGAAAACTCCATCTCATCTTGCGGAACCTACAGCTCGGGCTGCTGTAACGGAAACACAGTATCAGCACCTATAGGCAGTTGCGCAAACACATTGCTGCTGAAGAAACTCTTGCCGGTTCTGCTTGCAAATCAACCTACTCTCCATACTGGCCCATCCTACAGAAATAGCGGTGGAGGATGCGGATCCTGCTCAAGCTACTGCTAAACTGTGCTCTGATTGGAAGTTTATAGACAGCAATGCAGTTTTTCCTGCAATAATATTTATTTGTGCATGTTGTGTATCATTCTTCACTCTGAATGAGTATAAGTAAATAGCATTTTTGACAACTTGTTGTTTTCCTATTACATTTCGCTTTCTTTCACCTTCTCTCTTAGTCTCTCTCTCTCTCTCTCTCTCTCTCTCTCTCTGTCTCTGTGTCGCTCTTTCTATTTTTCTCTTTTTCCCTCTTTCTCTTTTCCTCTCTTCCACTCTTTTTTCTTTTTCTTTCTAACTGGTTCTCTCTTTCTATCCTCTCTTATCATATTATATTATTCAAAAGATAATATATTTAATATCTTCACAATTATTCAAGGTGTCCCAACTCGGTTATTGAGCCGTACATTTTACTGATGGATTGTACTATTTTTTGTCATATTTGGATGAAGAAGAACATTGATATAACATACCCATGGGTATTAGGAATTTTGTCCAAAAAAGACGAAAGTTCTGCGGACAACTTCGCCGTTTTTTTGATAATGGATTATGAGATTTTGCATGATCGTTTTGCTATTGCCGTTAGATTTAAACTTCCAAGATGGTCATTTCTCCAAATGGATACCTCATTTTGGAACTCAATGACTTTTTGACTCTTGAATATAAATTTATATTATGCAAAATGTCGGGCTGTCAGATATGAGCATTACTGTACATTGAATTGCTCATAACTCAACAACCAATTATCAAAGCACTATAATATGTCTGATCAGTTTTCTTCTCTTGAAAGTATATATCGAGATATAATAAAGCCTGAGATATTCCATTTGAAAATGATGTCATCTGTGAATTCTTTTTAATGGAATATCCCATATTGTGGCGGACATTTAACATACCCTCCCGAAAGAATAAAAATTATATAACATACTATAGCTAGCGTTTTCATGATTAGTTATAGTACAATGTACAAAAACGCTCAGCTTTGTACATATATTCCTAGGTTTATCAAGTACTCTTAAGAAGCTTTTTATTAAAAAGATAGGGCTTAACCGCCACCTTGAAAATTTCATTTTTGCCATAAAATATACTACATACTTATGCGTCCGTCCCATGATCCCGAATTTCGACTAATTAATTTTACCAGTTTAAAAAATAAATTGGAGGGGGCTTTTTGAAAAGCACTATATACTTATGTATATAAAAATAATAATAATAATAATAATAATAATGTCTTTATTCCCACAAAAAAATATATGTTACGAAACCAGTTTCATATAAACATATAGCGGGAGGGGCGGCATAAAAATGAGCTGTGCAGGAGTGAAGACTGAAGTATACGTATAGATTAGAGGTGTAAATAATGAGCATTAACGGAGCCCTAGGGAACACCCAGGTCACCTTGAGTGACGTGGTGTACTTATCATCTAGCATTACCCGCTGTTGACGATCTCTGCGCATTAAAGACTCTGCAGCGGCCGAAAATCCGTAAAAGCTGAGCATGGCTAAGAGTAGGTCATGATGTATCCTGTCAAATGCATTTGTATAATCTGAGAGCACCAAGGCAGTTAGGTTATCTTTGTGAGCATTGTACAGTACTACATTATCCACTACTTCCAGCAATGCTGTTGCACATCTATTCGCCGGACGGAACCCTGATTGTGTATCTGTGATAAGATTATTCGTTCTTTGGTGTTGTCATATCTGAATATCCATTATTGATTCAAGCAATTTAGACAATGTTGGCAATATTCTAATATGGCTGAGCAACTTTAGGCAAAGGCACAATCAAAGCGTGCTGCCAGCAAAGAGGAAAACAGCGACGCAATATGCACTGATATGTGTAATAAGAGGAATCATTTTGGGGCAGTAATACAACCGTATTTCGATATTTGTCAAAGAAGAAACATAAGATTTGACATTAGTTTTATAAAAAGAAAGTGCACTAAAGACGTAAAGTATCGGTTCATTTCGTCAACATCAGCTAAATCTACTGGGATCAATTACCTGGGTGTCTTAATGCCAAAGTTCATAGCTTCCAAAGCTTTCCAAAAAGTCTTATATTGCTAATTTTTTGTCAAAAATGAATCTTTTTAGCATTATCAATTGCTAATTTTACTATATTACGTAACTCTTTGTATTCGTCCTATTGCTGCCACACCTTGATTTCCTATAGGCGGTGAATTTGACATTTCTAAGCATTATTTCCATACGATAGGGTGTAAACTTTTCAAATAGCTAATTTATTAATGGTGGATTTCACTAAGAGTGTCAAATGACAAGCCGTTATTTTCCACCTAAGGATAACATACCGTCAAATATAGCGAATGTGCTTTAAGATCCATTTAAAAATTTTTGCAACCAATACTACTAACCCTACTATATACTAATTTGTAAATCTCTTCGTGTTTTAAGAAAAATCGATTAAGAGAACTCAATCATTAATTAGCTGAAGCAATCCTAATCTGAAAAGTAACTGTATCTCTGTGAACGTTCGTCTAACAGCTTATACAGTGTTCGTTGGTCTTCGCCATATTGAATTTGTGCAATGCTGTCACAAAAATTCTGACAAGTAGGTCATTCTCTGTCAAGTACAGTTAAAACAGGATAGCAGTTGTCATACAGCGTGTTGCTCGATTTAATAAATTAGAAAAGAGCAAGGAGAAAAGGAAATTACTGAAAATGGCAACGAAAAAGATAGGAGGGAAGAGAAGGAGAAGAGAGAAGACAAATTCCTTGAAACAGGTGCAAGAAAAAATTCCTTGGAAGCCTTATGGAGTATGTCGCTCAAAGATAAACTTGAACTATGTAATCAGCTCCTGATGGAAAAAGATAAGCTAATTAATCAGCTGACTAATGAAAACCGCCGATTTGTGGAACAATATGATATACTATCCTCAAGTACTGTTGGGATAGATCTATTAACAAACACACTTCAGAAGCTTAATGGAAGAATGGAAAAAATAGAAAAGTCTGATGTACCAAATTACTCATATTCCCAGGCAGTCTCAACTAAAGTGTCACACTGCATAAAAAGAAAATCACTTGAAAATATCAATATTTCGCCAAGTGAAGAAAAATCAAACGCGGAATAATCTGAACAACAACTTAAATCTATCAAAACTACAAATTAGTATCGATAATGTAAAAAACAGCAGAAATGGAGCTGTCAATGTTCAAGACTGTGGTCACACCTAGCTGAAAAATAAAATTGAAAAAACATGCCAACAACTTACAAAGTATCATGCCCCTACAGATAAAAATTGTCCAGTATATACATACTATCAACAAGAGTATTTTGTTTTTATTTATTTTTTTCTATAAATTTAAATTAAGAAAGAGAAAAAAATTAAGATTTGGTCATTTGAATATCCGATCTCTTCTACCTTCCCTTCCTGATTTTTCTCTCATACTTACAAAGCATGATTTTGATATTTTTGCCCTTTCTGAAACATGACTCAACAGCAATATTCCAGATACACTATTATATGTTTCAAGTTATAAATTATATCGTAAAGATAGAGAAAGCCGCGATGGTGGTGTAGACATTTATGTCAGGAATGAGTTAGTTTATGAATTGAAAAAAAAGAAAGACCATATTGACTGCTCTTCCAAAGTTGAAAGTTTATAGATAAAACTTAAAATATACGGTCTGAGTATAGCCCTTAGTGAAACCTATCGTACTCCCAATAGTAATGTCAACGAAGTTATTATCTTTTTTGATAATGTTCTTACCTAGTTTCGATCATGTTATTGTTGTTGGAGATATGAACATTATTCTATTGAGCCCTGATACCCAACTGCAAAACTGTTTTAATGTGTATGGATTCCAACAGGTGATTGATCAACCTTTTAGAATAACAAAATCTTTAAGTAGTCTATAAGATCCTATATTTATCAGTGATTCTCAAATATGCTCAAATTCTGGAGTTTTAAACATGGACCTATTAACTGATCATTTAGTTTTTTGTGAGACTACCCTTGAATCCAAAAAGCCGAAACAAAAATTTTTGAAATTCGGAGATGTTAAATATACTAAGTGGCATATAAATCCGAACACCCAGTTTAAATGGTTTTATTTTAATAAAAGTTGGTGAATGTATTTATCTTACTGTAAATAACAAGTGAAAAAATTTTCAGCCTTATCAGCTGTACATTCCGGTTTTTATACTGCTTTTTTTTAATTCACTAACGCACTAAAAATGAATATTTCAGCCGCAGTAAAGAATCAACGTTGGCGGATTTTGGTTCTTGACATCCTTTACGATCGGTTACGATGCCTAGAGTACGGAGACCTGTACGATTTCGTCAACTTAGTGAGTTTGATAGGGGCCGTATAGTGGGACATCGGGAAGCTGGACTTTCTTTTCGGGCAATTGCAGTTAGAGTGCAAAGAAGTGTAGACACTGTGGTTAGGTGTTGTCAGGCATGGCTTCGAGAAGGCCGTACGCAAAGAGCAAGGGGCACTGGACGCCGCCGTAGAACCGTGAAGATCGCCGCCTAAGATTATTGGCCTTAAAGCACCGTTTCTCCACTACCATGTCCATTGCAAATGAATGGTTTACAGAACACGGAAGACCTATTGGCATGCGAAGTGTTTACTGACGAATGAGAAGTTTTAGCTTGTTTTCATACCGGCCACACTGGGTCCTCCCTTTAACTCGAGAACACCGACGTAATCGCCTTGAGTGGTGCAGACAACGGCCACTCTGGGATCAGTAATGGAACAGTATTGTCTTTAGTGACGAGTCTCGATTTTGTTTAGGCATGCACGATGGTCGTGCCAGGGTTAGAAGGCGACGTGGTGAAAGGAGGAATCCACAGTTTTTTGTTGAAAGACATGTTCATCACACTGTTGGAGTTATGGTTTGGGGTGCTATAGCTTATGGTTCCAGGTCACCTTTAATCTTCATCAGAGGTAACATGAACGCGCAGCGTTATATCCACGAAGTCCTAGAACCCCATCTTTTACCCTATCTTGACACCCTGGCAGATCCAACTTTCCAACAAGATAATGCCCGACCACATGCTGCAAGAGTCACAATAGACTTCTTTCAACATAATGATGTCACATTGTTACCATGGCCACCAAGATCTCCCGACTTATCCCTAATTGAGCACGTGTGGGATATGATGG